AGGGCTCTGCCCTGTCCTCAGATCCCGCATCATGGAGTGGGACTCTGCTGCGCCCCGAGCCACGCACACGGACGCGCCCGGGGGCGGGGCCTTACCGCGTCCCGCCCCACTCTGCAGGCTTCGGCCTCCAGCGAAGCCTTCCGCTGTAGCAGCCAGGTCCCGGGGCGCCGCGAGAACCTAAAGCACTGCTCGGGTTCTCCTCCCGGTCTTCCAGATGTCCCAGGCCGGTGCCTCGCTTCTCTTTCCTTCCCCGCTGCTAATCAGTTGCGCACCCTCCCTTCAAACATCCTGCCCATTCCTAGCCGACCTCAGGTTAGCAGTGTGCTCACACTCGTGCGCAGGGCATGGGCGTCAGGGGCTCATAGGTTCTCAGAGGATCCCTGCCCTTTACTGTTCAGATCCTGGCTCGACCTGTCCTTATGAGAAACCTAACGCACCGAGACTCAGTCTTTTCGTGTGTAAAATGGGGGAAATACTTAATTGTTAGGGTTATCAGGAGTTTCACTTATGCAGGACATATTTCGATTTTGTTTTGCGTCCCGTATTGACTTGTCAGGATGCCTTACGTGCCCCGTATCCATCTTTTTGCAATCAATTACAAAAATATTAGAACAATTTTTCCGCCAAGGTAATTGGAGCTTAAATCGCTTAAATGGTAACTCTAGTTGAAATATCCTACCTCTGCAAATAAAAAGATCTAGATAATACCTATAGATCCTCCAGCAGGTTTAGCTGAGGGAAGACCAAAAGAAAGGACTAGAAATTAAAAGTACGTATTCCAATTCAAAAAAGGACTTCTCTTGGCTCAAGTTTCGAGTCGTGAACAAGTAACTACCATTATTTAGAGAGAATTTCACATCAAAACACAAGCTCTGAAAATCAGCCAATCAGTGACTGCTTCACTCCAGTGGCTATGCTTCTGAAAATCAGCCAGTCAACAACAGCTTCACTCCGGTAACTATGCATCTGAAAGTTAGTAAATCAATGACAGCCACTAGCTTCTGAAAGTCAGCCAATCATTGGCAGCTCCACGCTTCCAGACATCAGCCAATCAGCAAGTGTCTCGCTCGGGTGACCAAGCTTCAGAAGTTACCCCGGGTCTCCAGCTGCCTTAGAGACCACACTAACACTGCTGGAAGTCAGTTCATAGGGAGCTGGATGCTTCTGCTTCTGAAATACCTCCAATCCCTGAACGCGGGGCTTCCCAAAACATATAAGATCACCTCTGGCTTTGTTCAGGGAGGCTGTGTTTTACAAGTACAGCTCTCCTTTGCAGGCAGAGAAGTTCATCTTTTTCTGCATCAGATACTGAGTTCAATTTTTCTTTTTTTTAATCTGAAGTTCACAATCCTTTCAAGATTCAACTCCCAGCTACCATTAGTGATAGGAGTTTGGACTTGTGACAAATTCAAGGACACAGCCATGGGATTTATCAAATACAACCTTTTCAGTTCTTGCGATGGTTGCTATTATCTTTTTCTTTACTTTTTTTTTTTTTTTGTAGTTCTATGGGTGTGTTCACAAATTTGTACAGTCACCACCACAACCAAACTTAGAACATTTTCATCGCCCCAACAAGAAAACCTACACCTTAAAGCAGCCATTCCCCCATTTCTCTCCAATGGTCCCAGCCTTAGGCAACCATGAATCTTTCTCTCTATGGATTTGTCCGTTCTCAACATTTCCTACAAATGGAATTATAACTATGTGGTCCTTCGTGACTGACATTTCATTTAGCATAATGTTTTCAAGATTTATCTATGTTGTAGCATGTATTAAAACTTCACATTTATGGTTATAACATTCCATTGCATGGATAAATCACGTCTTTCTTATCCACTTATCAGTTGATGTACATTGACGTTATTTCCACATTTTTACTATGTTTTTTTTAGCTAATGCTGCTATGAAAACATTAATGTACAAGTTCTAGTGAGACATATGTTTTCAGTTCTCTTGGGTGTATTACCTAGGCCTAAAATTACTAGATCATATAGTAACTCTTTAAGCTTTTGAGGATCTTCCAAACTATTTTTCAAAGCAGCTGCACCATTTACATTCTCACTAGCAATATATGCAAGTTTCAATTTCTCCAAATCCTCAGCAATATTTATTATTATGTATATTTTTATTATAGCCATCTTAATGGGTGTGAAATGGTATGTCATTGAGGTTTTGGTCGACATTTCCCTGATAGCTAACGATGTTGAGAATCTTTTCATCTACTTATTAGCCATTTGGAGAAATGTCTGTTCAGAGCTTTTGCCTCTTTTTTATCTGGTTATTTTTATTAAGTTGTAATAGTTCTTTTTTAAAAAAAAAGTATTTATTTTGAGAGAAAAAAGCATGAGTGGGCAAGGGGCAAAGAGGGAGGGAGAGAATCCCAAGTAGGCTCTCAGCACTGTCATTGCAGAGCTAGATGTGGGGCTTGAACTCGCAAACCATGAGATCACAACCTGAGCCGAAGCTAGATGCCCAACCTACTGAGCCACCCAGGCACCCCATAATAGTTCTTTATATATTCTAAATAAAAGTCCCTTATCAGCTATATGGTTTGCAAAAAAAATTTTTCCCATTCTGTGGGTTGTCTTTTCACATTCCTGATAGTGTCCTTTGAAGCACAAAATTTTTAATTTTGATGATATCCAAATTTATCTCTTTTTTCTTTTTGTTGCTTGTGTTTTGGTGTCAGATCTAACAAACCAGTGCCTAATTCAAGGTCACAAGGATTTACCCCCACATTTTCTTCTAAGAGTTTAACAGTTTTGGCTCTTAAATTTAGGCACATTTGAGTACATTTGGTACATTTTGAGTTAATTTTTATATTTGGTGTGAGGTAATGGGGTCCAACTTCATTCTTTTGCATGTGGCTATCCAGTTGTCTCAGCATCATTTTTTTTTAATAGTTATTTATTTTTGAGAGAGAGCATGAGCAGGGAAGGGGCAGAGAGTGAGGGGGACAGAGGATTCCAAGAGGGCTCTGTGCTGACAGCAGTGAGCCCAATGTGGGGCTCAAACTCAAAAACCGTAGGATCATGACCTGAACTAAAGTCGACACCTAACCGACTGAGCCACCCAGCTACCCCTATTTTTATTTTTTTGAGGGGAGCCTCCATGCTGTTCTCCAGAGTGGCTGCATCAGTTTGCATTCCCATCAGCAGTGCAAGAGGGTTTCCCTTTCTCTGCATCCTTGCCAACATCTGTTGTTTCCTGTGTTGTTAATTTTAGCCATTCTGACAGGGGTGAGGTGGTATATCTCATCGTTGTTTTGATTTATATTTCCCTGATAATGAATTACGTTGAGCATGTTTTCATGTGGCTGTTAGCCACCTGGATGTCTTCTTTGGAAAATGTCTGTTCACACCTTCTGCCCATTTCTTAACTGGGTTGTTTGGGTTTTTTGGGTGCTGAGTTTGATCAATTCTTTATAGATTTTGGTTACCAATCCTTTCTCAGGTCATTTACAAATATCTTCTCCCATTCTATAGGCTTTTAGTTTTGTTGATTGTTTCCTTCTCTGTGCAGAAGCTTTTTTATCGTGATGAGTCCCAACAGTTCATGTTTGCTTTTGTTTCCTTTGCCTTCTGTGACATGTCTAGTAAGAAGTTGCTCTGGCTGAGGTCAAAGAGGTTGCTGCCTGTGTTCTCCTCTAGGATTTTGATGGTTTCCCATCTCACATTTAGGTCTTTCATCCATTTTGAATTTATTTTTGTGTATGGTGTAAGAAAGTGGTCCAGTTTCATTCTTCTATATGTCACTCCAGTTTTCTCCACACCATTTATTGAAGAGACTGTCTTTTTTTCATCGGATATTGTTTCTTGCTTTGTCAAAGATTAGTTGACCTACCTGAAGTATTTTCTAATTCCAAAACTGTAAGCAAAATTTCAAATGCCAGGACAAAAAATCTACTGCAGTAATTGAAAATGAAATGACTCCATTTGCTGTTGTAGTGATTATTAAAGCTCTAAATGGTTCATCTTTTGACGGCATTATCATGGATGCAAGTAATGATTGACAATGCAGAAAACTTTTTCCTTTGTGCAATACTCTTCTTGTGAAAAGGCTCATTTGTAAGGCTATTTTGAGAAAATCCCTTCCAAACGAGACTTTAGACACAAGAGAAAATTTTTGTTCAGACTCTAATCGAGTTAGGAGTTAATAAAGAAAATTGTACTGCTTTTGGTGGAAATCATACAAATACAAATGTTGGTAGATGTTTGCACGAAGTGCAGACATTGTCTATTCAAAGCTGAAGGTAAAGCATGAATGATTCTATGGAAGCTGTTGGCTGTCCTGCTTATATTGTGCATAAGGTTGCTAAAATGGCAGTTCATGTCCTTCCATTTCTTTGATGTAATTGTCTTGAAATTGTTCTTTTTTTTTAATTGCTCTCTTATGCCAGCATTTATACAATTCAAACTGAACAATTAAGGGATTTTGTGATTTTGCTGGCATTTTGTATTTTTCATTTCTCTTGTTAGCTCTCTTTAACAAATGGAGTTGAGAGAATTCTCAGTTTGTTTGAAGCACTGGAATCTTACTTTCATTCTTAAAAAAAAAAAAAAAAAAAGAAAAGCTCCCAAAATTCTTACTG